AGCAGAGCCTCCCGCGTTTTCCTTCTTTGGGGGGGAAGGCGCGGGGGGCTGACTCTTTACCATCCCACGTGGCTGCGCTTTTCAGGCGCACTACCCCTGGCAGCCGTTTCGTTCCACCTCTCCCACATTCCGCATTTAAGGCACATTGTGGGGGCATGGTAAAAGAGAAGATCACGACAGTTACTCTCTACCACGCGTGCCTGTGCGTTGTTTGGGCCTAGCCCAACGACGCCCTGCATGCGTGTATGGCCCAGGTTCGGGGGCTCCTGTCGGCGTACTAAATTAGGGGTCCCTTAGTACCCCAGACTTGTGCACAGGCAGTTGCAGCCCTCCGGACGGCAACGGCTTGCAAGAAGAAAACTCAACCCAAGACTCAAGATTCAACATACAAGACCGTGATGAAGACCTCCCGGCAGGTCATCGAGAAGTACCGAAGGTCAAGATTCTAGTTGCCAGCAAGCTCCGCACCGGCAAGCCAAGACCCAGCAAGCTCCTTGCCGGGAAGTCTCCCCTCCCGCTTCTCGACTGCTCCACCTCATCGACCAGCTGATGGCATGTCAAGATTAGGTGTCAAGCGAACGAGTGACTTGGGGAGGATCATCAGGACGCGTGTCAGCACGTCGCGTGCAGATCAACTTTATTGACACCCGTCTTATGGACGTGTCAACAAGATAGGCTCATCCAGGCCAACGACACAGAAGGAGAGACGCCTTTTGCCAAAGGATTGCTATCAATTCACGGTGCATTAAATGCCCTTGTCCTAGTCTGGCAGGATTAGGTTGGATAGCATCGAGGCCACTATTCACAAGATGTAATGACCATGTTGCCACTGTGGTGACCCCTTTTTGTCTATAAAAGGAGGCCCATGGCTACCTTGGCACGAGTAGACACTTTGCTCACGCTTACACAGTAGCTGCACCTTGCTCACGTTCTTTCGGCAAGTTGCGCTTGTAACTTGAGCCCCAAGTCAATCCACCAAACAAGCAGGAGTAGGGTTTTATGCCTCCAAGGTGGCCCGACCTGAGAAAACCTCGCGTGTGAACTCTTGGATTTGCTCTCTATGCTCGTCGATCTCCCAAGCCAAGCTGCAAAGGGGCCACGCTGGTCCTATAGATTGTCGTACACCGACATCTCGTATAAGTCATCCACAGTAGCATCTCCCACAGTTGTTGCTCTTGACGAACAACACAGAGATACATGGTATCCCCCATAGACTCGTAGCGAGGGCAAAGGTGCTCCCACATCTGATATGCAGTGGGAAGGGCCACCACATCCATGGGGAGTTCAACATCCATGCTATTCACCAAGATGGAAGAGGCTCGAGCATCATCATTTGTCCATTGCTTTTACATGTGGAGCTGATTATAGTACTCTCCAGTGGCCTCCTCAAAGGCATCGAGCACCTCACGTTGCTTGGTATTATCGGCACCAGCAGGGAAGACCACCTCAGTCGGAGGAGTGAGCGGCAGAGGACAGGGCAGAGCACCTGTGAGGTGCTCCCAGACCAGCTGGCCCCTCATGTTTGAACTATCTAGGAGTACTTTCCGTTTGGATGTTGTTGGATCCAATTACACCTCTTGTATTTACTCTTGGATATGAGATGTGTACATTGTCTTGAATATCTTTTTGTTTCCCTTTGTTCTTCGTGTTTTCCACCGTGTTCTTTGCGTTATTCCTCAAATCCACCTCCAATTCGTGAAGATCTGGCCACCCATACGACTTGTCGCGTATGATTTTGTATTAGGAGTGTTGAGGGAATAGCCAAAATTATACCGGGGGTTCGACCCGAGTCCTCCAAGGCAATCCACATGGACGGTCAATAAAAGTCAAAGGCAATCAACACAAGTCAAGGAGGTTAATGAAAGTCCAAGCAAGCTACGACAAGCCACCTCGGCCAACAAAATTCAAAGTGCTCAACAAGTCAAAAGAAGAAGAGCACCTAGAAAAGCAAGTCAAAGATGAAGGCAAAGGACCAAAGAAGCCCAAGCAAGAAACCCTTCATATGGTGGAGGAAATTTCCCTTTCATGGGCCACAACTCCCCTCCTAGCCCAACTAGGAGCCCATGGACCAAAGATTACCTAGTTCTAATCTCCCACCTCCTCTTTTCAAGGGTAGCCTTGGTCATTTGTCAATGACCCTGAGGCTACATATGGCCCCCATGGGCATGTAAATCATTCACTCCCATTTGAATAAACTCAAGAGGAGAGTTCTCCCCCTTCCCTAGAACCAAGGCTCGACCAAGAGGCTAGGAATCGGAGTCCAAGAGACCAAGTAAGGCTCGAACTATCGGGAGTCGTGGGACTTCAAAGCAGTAGCACTCTATGTTGTCGTGCACCGAGCACCACTCAACCACTCTTTCTCATAGGAAGTAGGTCATGCTCCAACGAGGCAACTGAAAAAACATCATTTTGTCAGTTTTTTTAGTGTATGGCGACCTTCGGTATGAGGCTGTAGTACACACCCTCGCCTACTTTATATTCATCACGCTACTAAGGATACCCCTTGACGTAAGTTGTTTCTTGAACAAGAACAAAGAGCAAGGTTGCCAAAAATTGGGTCCCCTACCCCCTCCATTTCTAGCCTCTTTTTCTGGTTTTCTTGCCTAACTCGGAAATTTCCAAAAAAAAAAGCCCAAAGTCAGTTTCGAGTGAATTGTTCGATTTCATGGGATTTGGTAGGTTTCGAGCCATGAATCTCTTGCAAAACTAGTTGATCTACCTTCCTTTCCATCCCTTGGGCACAATTTTTCTTTTTCCCCATCAAATTTCAAGCTAGAAATTATTTTTTTTCTTCCTGGAAAATCCAATCCGAGTTTCCAGAACACATCTGTATTTTCCCGATTGTTTCCCCTGATTTGTCCGAACCAAACCCAAGTAGTCCCAGACAATTTCCTAGACTATTCAGACTATTCCCTAGAGGGTCTGGACGAATCCCCGGACTGTCCGGCCATACCAATAAAACTGACCAACACCCTTCGCCAGTTGGCCGTAACTTCTGCATCCGAACCTCAATTTGGGTGTTCTTGGACTTGTTTTGAAGCTATCGACGTGTTGACTCAAACGACAAATGTGGTTTTGGTGATAAGCCAAATCCTTCGTTCGATACAATCGACATAGTGAATCTACGCTCGCTTGGCTCGGTGCTAAATGAACTCCTTAATTGATTCTAGGCTGCTTGTATGGGGACAGTGAAAGCAAGCGTAGGAGATCAAACTGTGAGTCGAGTACGATGGGTAAAAGGGCGACTCGTCGTAGTCAATACCCATGGTGGATATAGACTCGAGGGATCGCCTGACTGAAGTTTCCGCCGTCTGGTTGGGCGCCCAAACACGAAAGTGAAGCTTATCGATCTTGTCAGCGATGAAGTCCAGACTGCTGAAGCGAAGAGTCTTTCCTTCAGTGAAGGCAGTAGTGGGGGGTTAGACGCCCCACCGGTTCGGCGGCGAAGTCTAGGGAGCCAAGGCGGATGCCTTAGCCCAAAGTGAAGACGCCGGAACCGATGAAAGAACCCATCTGGATCCAATCTGACAAATCTATGCGCACATCCCCTACATGGCGCGCCAAACGTCAGTGTAAGGGCAGTGTATGTATAGAGAATCTAGAGGGTGCACATGAGACATGATTTTCCCCATTTTAGGCCCTCAGAGAGAGGCAACACCCTACTTTCTACCTTTGTGAATTGTATTGATGGCCGCCTTGCATGAGAGCTAGGGTTTGTGTGTTTGCACGTATGGTGTGTATGCGTAAGCATAGAGTTGGGTGAGCAGTATGGTTACACGGGCCGAAGTAGGTTTACACGGGCCGAAGTAGGTTTACACGGTAGAGATCCCATCGATTTACAATTTGATCTACCTACTATACATGTCTTGTATTCCAAGGTGATGGTGCGCCTCGAATTGCAGGACGACTCCTAGTCGCTACCCAGGCCCACCCTGCGGCTATTGGGTCAGATTCAGCCTACCTGACTATACATGGGAGCTATGTGAACATCACCTGGCCCCAACTCACGGACTATCTAGACGTGTTGCCTGCGTGCAGAGTTGGGCAGAGCCCACGTATCCTCCCTTCCCCCACTTACCTATACTCCACCCCCCACCCCCCACCCCCCCCTTCCACTCTAGGGTTAGCAAAGTAGAACTAAAACCATAGAGCTTTCTCACCACCTCTCCCCTTGTGGGATGTCCCTTGTGGAGAAGGCTCCTCAATGGAGATCCAAGGCCACCTTGGGAGGTGAAGACTCTTGAGGACTACAAGAACTTCCTAGTGGAGATGATTCCTCTTGGAATATCAAGACCTCCATATCTTAGGATTGGGGATGAACATTCTTTCTTTGTTACTTCTTTTCCTTTGGATGTTGTTGGATCCAATTGCACCTTGTGTATTGACTATTGGATACGGGATGTATATGTTGGCTTGTATATCTCCCTTTGTTCTTCGTGTTTTCCCCCCATGTTCTTCGTGCTCTTCCTCAAATCCACCTCCAGTTCGTGATTGGGCCACCCCTACGGGTTTGCCCCATATCATGACGCCTCTTGTGTCCAGGCCTTTTTTAGGTTACATCGAATAGGCATAAGAGCATTTACCCTCTTGTAGTCTTGTGACATAGATCTGCTCAATTCAACCTTCGTGGTTTTTTTAAGTGGCCTTGTTAACTTATCTTATTCAAGGGATTTATGAAAAGTAGTGCTCCAATGACCCCCCACAGGCCCACACAGAATAATGTGCCTCGCCAGGTAGCATCCTTCTTTTGTGCTAACCAGTTAGTGAATAAGGGAGTTGAGAATGTGGGGTTTCAAGATACCATATTTAGATGGAATTTATAAATTTAGGAGCAAGTTCCACCTTACACCATTTTCAAGTAGGTCCACAAAATACCACTTACGTTGGAAAATCTAGAGCTAATACGTCCACATGTATAGTTCTGTGTAGAAAAGAAATGCAACAGGGCAAGTACAGATCTTAAAACTTTGAACCATATCACGGACAACATAACAACCAACCTCGACATGCAGCGAAAGCTTGTCAATTTGATCAGTGTACTGTGGAAGAGCTTGAACCATTTTTTGTAGGTCTCTAGTTGATAGCTCTCCTCCGGTTCTAAAAAATTAAACAAGAGGCAAAGAGCACTAGTAAAAGAAGCCCAAAACATAACAAACAAATAATGATTCATTCAACTAAGCATAAGAAAATAGAAGTGAATCGATAATTAGAATTAGGTTGACAAGGACAGATTTAAGTTTGTTTTGGAAGTTGAGTTTTCACTTGGACTTAGGTAGTTAAATTAACTAAAAAACTAACTCTGAATCCTCCACTATATAGCTAGGCACATCATATTGCAACTATTGTGCTTGCTTATTTTTCAGTTATGAGAACAGTACATGTAGTTATGAGTTGCTGCTATTCAACCGAATTTAGTCGAAGTCACGCTTTCTCAGAATGCAACAGGTGCATTTCATTTAAATTGCTATTTTGTTCATGAGACAGAAATGAAATAGTCACAAAAAGACATGCGAAGAACAACACGAATATGAACATATTTAATGTAACAATGAGCCACCACACCTAACTATGCACTTGGTTTGAAACAGTGAACAAACCTTGCTTGCTGTCGTTGAGCAGCTTTGTTCTTCGAGACAAAATGTGTCATCTTATCATGAAGTCTTTCACTTGCCTGAAATTATATAATGGTTAATTGTATAGCTGCTGAAAGTGTGAACCACATAGAAAGATGGACTGAGAAGTGCTCTCACATCTGCTATATGGGAATGTCGAAGTTCAAGCCAAACTGGATCATGGTCCTCTAACAGGACCTCCTTTTTTTCTGAGGCTGAACCATTTTTACTTGAAACCTTTTATTCAATCACATATAAGGATCCGTAACCATTCAGGGAAACAACAGACCATAATTCCACCATTAAGAAAAAAGACCAATGGCATGCTCACCTCATGTACGTACTTGTTACCATCCATGCATAGCAGATCATGGCACATGGCATCATAAGTCCATTCATGAATTATTGGTGCGATCTGAAGTATACTAGAAAAGTGAACCAGCAGAATAAATAGCACCAGTATAGAAGTTGAACCCAGATTCACCACGTACCTGATCTACTGAACGGTCTACTATGAGAAGTTCACAAGTTTCTGTCTGCGGGAATTCAGGAATTGACGTTTTATATTTGGAGAGGTAATTCCATACACCAGCAGCAATCTTTGTGGGCACCATGTCCCTTAGTGTTGTCATTGTAGAAGCATCAATGGTCTTGGCAATGCGGTAGTGCACACGGGGAAATTCCTATAGTTTATAGAACAATACATGTCAACAATAAGCTAATAGTAAGAAGTGACCTTAGCTCACTTGGTTAGTTGAGAGGATTCACAACCCAGCCACCCAGGTTCCAGTCCTCACAGGTGTGAATTTTGGGTTCTTATTCTTTCAAAATAAAATCGATGTAAGGGCCTTCCCTACCACATTTCTTTCAAGAAAAAAAAGCGAGCAGTTGCTGTGTACCAAGTTGCAACATGTCAAGCATTAGAGCTCTTGTTGAAGTTGAAAGAAAACGAACATGTATTCTTCCTCTCGCAACTCTCTTGGAATTTATCTCCAGAACACACACCATGGAAGAAACCGAGAAAACACACACACACACACATGTACCAAGGAAGAAAGCCAGCTAGCTTTGCCGAGAGGCTATCCTCCTTAGTGACACAAGTGCTACATCTTTCTACAGCCCTCATGGCCACTTTCTCATTCATCTATTCTGACTTAAATAGCCTGTACAAAGAAGACTTAGACGCACCTACTAAACCGGCCACCACGCACGGCCACTCACCCAACTAATTCCATGCACTAACTAATCACCTACATGCACTACATCCACGCCCACGTACACCGCCCTTGTAGCTCCTTTTGAATGGCCACACGACCCGGCCAAGCAGGCTAACTAACTCATGCATGTCTAACTCAACAAACTAAGCTGACTACGTGCACTTATTTCTAGCTAAACCAACCATAAGCTTGCATGTACACTAGTGATCACATCTCTACATGTGCACACACTGCCGCAACTCCACTGGCTGACTCAACTATATGAAATAATATAATCTCAACCTAGCACTAATAACAAAGAAATCGCAGTAACAGAGTTCAAATCATCAGTTGAACTTGAACATCCACATCATCTTGTTGCTTTCTCTTATTTTTAGTACATTAATTGCGACCAAGATTGTCTGTTTTTATTTTCACCACATTATTTTTCCATGAACCAAAAGTTGCCTATTCCTCTTGAAGTATGTGGATTGTCCAACCTTCTCCATAAGTTCGGACTTTTGGTTCTACTGGTTGGTGCATGAAACTTAATATGGTAGAGCAAAAGAGGTATTGGGTTCAAGTGTTGGCTTTCACCTTTAAACAAGAAGCATTTCTTGCCCTCTTTCTATCCACATTTAGGCCCTATCGAGCCACACATGAGAGGGGGTCCATGTGGGCAAGGCAGGGTCTTCATTGAGCTCCCTGACACATAGCATTCCTAATTTTACGCCACCAACTTAGATGAGATTGTTAAGGAAGCAACTTATCTTCATTGAAGGCCCAAGGGGCATATATATATTACACAAGACTTGAGGTGCGAGGAAAGTAAACATAGACTAATAAGGACTCCTAGACCAATACTAATACTTCCTAACCCCGCTGGAATACAAGTTGCTTATTCCTAACATGGTATTAGAGCTAGGTCAATTTTTTGCACGCTGCAACTCGTGCTATTGATCTGTCTCTCCTCTCCGATCGAAGGCGCCGGCCTCGATCTCCCGGAGTCTCCCGATCTGTTCGATCGAGTCCGGCTCGTCTTACTCCCGCTCGAAAGCCCCAATCTCCCGATCAGGATCGAAGCGCTCTTCTGGAGTCTCGCGCAAGCCCCGATCTCCCGCTCGAAGCTGCTCCCGCTCTTCTGGAGTCCCGATCTGCTCCCGCTCGAAGCCGGCGCCCGATCCGGTCCGGTCGCTCGTTCCGCCAGTGCCCGCCCGTTCCGGTCGCTCGATCCAGTCGCTCGTGTCGCCAGCGCCCGCCTGATCCAGTCGCCAGTTCCTGCCCTGAAGTCGCTACTCCCTGCTCGCGCCTGATTCCGCTGCTGGTAGTCTGCTGTCGCTGGTGCTCTCGTCGGAACTAAAAATAAAATAAAATAAAAATGTCTGCTGCATCGGGCTATGTTGCTGTCCCTCGCTGTCCGGTGATCTTTGATGGTACTAACTACACCGAGTTCACTGGCTTCATGCGCATTCACATGCGTGGCATCCGTCTCTGGGGTGTTCTTTCTGGCGAGGTCTGCTGTCCGCCACGTCCGGTTCGGTGGCCCCCACTCCACCGACTCCATCGGTTCTTCCTACGGATGCTAATCAGGCCGCCAAGGATGCGGCTAAGCTTGCTAATGAGGCTGCTGATCGTGCTTATGATGAAAGGGTTTTGGCTTATGAGGAGGCTCTTCAGACGTATCATGGTGCTCTGTCTGTTTACACCCAGTGGCTTGATGATGATGCTCGTGCTGCAGCTGTTCTCACTGCTAGTGTTCTGCCTCAGTTTGCTTTTGAGTTTCTGGGTCTTCCTACTGTCTTTGAGATGTGGACCCGTCTTCGTCAGCGCTATCAGCCCTCTGGTGATGCCTTATACCTTTCTGTGGTCCGTCAGGAGCATGCTCTTCAGCAGGGTGACTCTACTGTTGATGACTTCTATGCACAGAGTTCTGCTATCTGGCGCCAGCTTGATTCTCTCCGCAGTGCTGGTTGTCGTACTTGCCCCTTTTGCCAGGCTGTCTAGGCAAATTTGGAGTTTCATCGCATCTACGAGTTCCTATCTCGGCTCCGTAAGGAGTTTGAGCCCCGGCGTGCTCAGTTGTTTGCTCGTGGCCGTATTTCTCTCATGGAGGCACTTTCTGAGATTCGTGCTGAGGAGACTCGCTTACGTGGTGCTGGTTTGCTGGAGGTTCCCTCTGTGCTCGCTACTCGGTCTTCTTCCACGCCACCTGCTGCACCGACCCCTTCTCGCTCGAGTGCTCCGCCGCTCTTGCCCACTCCTTCTGGAGGCTCCGGTCGCCCCCGTCCACATTGCGATTACTGCAACAATGATGGTCATATCGAGTCCCAGTACTACACGAAGAGGAAACACCTGCGCAAGGCGCGATCATCATCTTCAGGGACTTCGTCATCTACCTCGATAACTTCAGCCATTGCCTTGACTGAGCAGGATATTCTGAGACTTAAGCGTCTGCTCGCGGCTTCAGGTTCTTCCTCGACGGGTACTGTTGGTTCTGTGACTGATGCTTCCCGCACTGAGCAACCGCCCTCTACACAGTCAGGTACATCCCCATGGGTTCTGGACTCTGGAGCTTCTTTTCATATGTCTTCTCATTCTTCCACCTTGTCCTCTCTTCGATCGCTGGATTCTCCTGTTCATGTCTTCACTGCTGATGGTACTCCACTTTCTGTTGCTAGTAGAGGCAACCTTACCACTCCTTATTATGTTCCTGATGTTGCTCATGTTCCTCGACTTACCATGAATCTGTTTTCTGCCGGTCAACTTACTGATTTTGGTTGTCGCGTCATCCTTGACGTTGACTCTTATTTTGTCCAGGACCGTCGCACGCACACTCTGGTTGGGGCTGGCCCTCGCCGCCGTGATTCTCAGGGTCTTTGGGAGTTGGACTGGCTTCATGTTCCTTCCGCTGCCACCACCATCGCCAGTTCCTCCTCTTCAGTCGCCTCTGTTACTGGTTCCTTCAAGCAGTGGCATCATCGACTTGGTCATCTATGTGGTTCTCGGTTGTCGTCTTTAGTTCGTCGAGGTCTTCTGGGGTCTGTCTCAGGAGATGTCTCTTTAGAGTGTCAGGGTTGTCGTCTTGGCAAGCAGATTCAGTTACCATATTCACATAGTGAGTCAGTGTCTAAGCGTCCTTTTGATTTAGTCCATTCTGATGTATGGGGTCCGGCTCCTTTCGCTTCGAAAGGTGGTCATAAATACTATATTATTTTCATAGATGATTTCTCTCGTTACACATGGCTTTATTTCATGACTTCTCGTAGTGAGGTGTTGTCTATTTATAAGCGTTTTGCTGCCATGGTTCATACTCAGTTCTCTTCACCCATTAGTGTTTTTCGTGCTGACTCCGCTGGCGAGTATATCTCTAAGATGTTGCGTGGTGTTCTTGCTGAGCAAGGAACTCTCCCTCAATTCTCTTGTCCTGGTGCTCATGCTCAGAATGGTGTGGCTGAGCGAAAGCATCGACATCTTCTGGAGACGACTCGTGCATTGATGATTGCTGCCTCTCTCCCTCCTCATTTTTGGGCTGAGGCCGTCTCCACCTCCACCTATCTTATCAATATACAACCTTCCGCTGCTCTACAGGGTGGTGTTCCTTTCGAGCGTCTTTTTGATCGTTCTCCCGATTATTCCATGCTTCGCTTGTTTGGTTGTGTTTGCTATGTTCTTCTTGCCCCTCGCGAACGCACCAAACTGACCGCTCAGTCTGTTGAGTGTGTCTTCTTAGGCTACAGTGATGAGCATAAGGGCTATCATTGTTGGGATCCTATCGGTCGTCGGATGCGTATCTCTCGAGACGTGACTTTTGATGAGTCTCGCCCCTTCTACCCATGCCCATCTTCCTCGATTTTTTCAATGGAGGATATCTCTTTCCTCACTTTTGCTGACTCACCTATCACCCCCGTCGCGCATGTGCCTATTCGTTCCACTCCCTCTGCTTCTCCACCTCTAGTTGATTTGCAGCCACCATCTTCTTTGGTCTCCTCGCCTAGCATGTCACCAGATTCTACACCTTCATCTCCGGTGACTTCTTCGTCGCCACCCCCGATTCTACCTTGGCGATTCCTCCTTCTATTGTTCCATCTTTTCCTCAGCATTACACTTGTCGTTCACTGCCTGTGGATGCCTCATTGGGTGAGTCGTCATCTTCCTCTCAGCCTACTTATGGCTTGCGTTCTCGTCCTCTTCCGCCTGTTGATCGCTATGGATTTCCCACCGCTGGTGCTGCTGTCCTTGAGCCGACTTCTTATCGTCAGGCTGTTGTTCATCCTGAATGGCAGTTTGCGACGGCAGAGGAGATTGCTGCTCTTGAACGCACTGGTACCTGGGATCTTGTTTCTCTTCCTCCCAGAGTCCGTCCCATCACTTGTAAGTGGGTCTACAAGGTTAAGACTCGCTCTGATGGTTCGCTTGAGCGTCACAAAGCTCGTCTTGTGGCTCGTGGTTTTTAGCAGGAGCATGGTCGTGATTATGACGAGACTTTTGCTCCTATGGCCCATATGACCACTGTTCGTACACTTCTTGCCGTTGCCTCTGCACGCCACTGGTCTATATCTCAGCTTGATGTTAAGAATGCTTTTCTTAATGGTGAGCTGCGTGAGGAGGTGTACATGCAGCCGCCACCTAGGTATTCTGTTCCTGATGGCATGGTATGTCGTCTTCGTCGCTCTCTCTATGGCCTTAAGCAAGTCCCCCGCGCTTGGTTTGAGCGTTTTGCCTCTGTGGTCACTACTGCTGGTTTTTCAACAAGTGCTCATGATCCAGCATTGTTTATTCACCTTTCTCCTCGTGGTCGGACTCTTCTTCTTCTCTATGTTGATGACATGATCATCACTGGGGATGACCCCGAGTATATTGCCTTTGTAAAGGCCCGTCTTAGTGAGCAGTTTCTTATGTCTGATCTTGGACCTCTTCGCTACTTTCTTGGGATTGAAGTCTCTTCTACCTCTGATGGCTTTTTTATATCCCAGGAGAAGTATATCCAGGATCTTCTTGCTCGTGCTGCTCTTACTGACGAGCGCATTGTTGAGACTCCTATGGAGCTCAATGTTCACCTCCGTGCTACTGATGGTGATCCTCTCCCTGACCCGACGCGTTATCGTCATCTCGTTGGCAGTCTTGTCTATCTTGCTGTTACTCGTCCGGACATCTCTTATCCGGTTCATATTCTGAGTCAGTTCGTCTCTGCTCCCACATCGGTTCACTATAGTCATGTCCTTCGCGTTCTCCGATATCTTCGGGGCACGATCTCTCACCGTCTCTTCTTTCCTCGCTCCAGTTCTTTACAGCTTCAAGCCTATTCGGATGCTACGTGGGCTAGTGATCCTTCAGATCGCCGTTCACTTTGTGCTTACTGTGTTTTTCTTGGCGGTTCTCTCATTGCCTGGAAGACGAAGAAACAGATTGCAGTTTCCCGTTCGAGTGTCGAGGCTGAGTTGCGAGCAATGGCTCTTTTGACGGCAGAGGTGACTTGGTTACGGTGGTTACTTCAGGATTTTGGTGTTTCTGTCACTACACCGACTCTGCTCTTATCTGACAGTACAGGTGCTATTAGCATTGCGCGTGATCCTTTGAAGCATGAGCTCACCAAGCATATTGGTGTTGATGCTTTCCATGTGCGCGTTGGCGTGCAGGATCAGGTTATTGCTCTTCAGTATGTGCCTTCCGAGTTACAGTTGGCGGATTTCCTAACGAAGGCCCAGACTAGAGCACAACATGGCTTTTATCTCTCCAAACTCAGTGTTGTTCATCCACCATGAGTTTGAGGGGGGGTGTTAGAGTTATAATATAAGTCATGTATCCCTTTGTGTTTATCCCATTGTATAAGGGGTTTCCTGCATATGTTCCACACCTGTACATGTATATATATCGACCTATGGCCTCATGGGAATACAAGTTGCTTATTCCTAACAAAAGCCACACTGCTAGGCAGAAGCAGCAGCGAGAGCCAGCACATGCGCGTGCAGGGGGGGCAGTAGTAGGAGAGCAGCACGCCTGCATGGCTGCGTACACACATGGCCAGCAGGAGCATAGGCGGGCTCGGGAGACCTGCACAAGCGGATCTGGCGGGGCGACGTTGACCGGGGCGGCAGCGATGTTATAGCAGGAAAAAAGCATCAGCGACGCGAGAGATCGGGAGGGCGAGCGGCGCCTGAAAAAAATAACCTAAGCTATAATACCATGTTAGGAAAGCAACTTATCTTCATTGAAGGCCCAAGGGGCATATATATATTACACAAGACTTGAGGTGCAAGGAAAGTAAACATAGACCAATAAGGACTCCTAGACCAGTACTAATACTTCCTAACAGAGATAAGGCACTTTTTTGCTGCTGTACCAACAATCCTAATTCGGGTAGGACTTGAAGGGGAATCAGCATACATACCCTCATAGATGCAAATACTGTAGATATACGAGTAGCCATTGCATTCAAACAAGCATTGTATTTGTTGAAGCCTTCTGCACTCTCACAGAAAAGCTCTTCCAATGCCCTTTCATGGTCAGTTATGAAACCCTGCACACAATCACCATGAGTACACTATGCCAGACAAAAGGAATTACTATAAAATTGCTGCAAGCTTAGGTACATCCATGCTCTCCCAGTAAGAATACAAGTCCTCTTTATTTTTAAACTGATTCCTAATGCAGCATCCACGTTAAACCACAGCGCCATAAAAAAAGTGTTACATCAAGGATAAATCAAGTCCGTTAGGTCTTGGCACTTGGGGCCTACGAACAGTCATGTCCTTTGGTTAAAATACACATCCTTTCGTGAAAGGATGTCTCTTCATGGAAAGACAGGTCCCTTGGTCAATGACATTGCTTCGTGAAAAGACATGCCCTTGGTGAAATGATGTCTCTTCGTGGAAAGACATTAGACAAGAAGCACAATAATTGTTAGACTAACACGATGCAAAATTCAGTTTGTAACATCCCAAAAGATGCAACCGTTGAATTGCCTTAACAGTGTGAGAAAAATAATGTACTAAAATTTAACATGTCTATTTGTTTATGCACTACAACAACATTCAACTTTGCAACTTTATGCTTAAATTTTATATATAAACATTTCAAAATAAACTCGGTGAAAACATCTAATAATACCCACAGCTAAACCTGGGCATTGACCAGGCCGGGCCGGGTTTCGGGCTGGGCTTCGCAAAGCCTGGCCTCTAAATCCCAAGGATGGACCCAACTCGGCACGGCCCGAGGCCCAAAGAAATATCTATTTTCGGATGAAAAAAATAACAAAAAAACCTATTTTCGGGATTAGATAATGTAATATATCAAAATTCATGTTTTCTGGGATTATACCTGTTTTTCCTGTAATATCCCAAAAATCATGTTTTCCCAGGCTTCAGGCCGGGCCATGGGTGAGAGAGGCCCGAGCCCGGCCTGGATGCTGGGCTTTGGGCCAAGCCTGCCGGGCCGGGCCACCCATGCACGGGTTTACCCACATCAAATCGCAGGGTTTACACTAGTATATACTCAAAAAATCGAGCAATTGACCGGAGCTCTGCCTTTTCATTAGAATTGACCAATCAATGAGAAAAATTTGCTAAAAACGATACAGTTGTGACGCGCACACACCAACCCCAAGGTTGCGTACCAGCCAAGCGGGCGACTCCACCACCCAAGTGGCCAGAGACAACACCCTACAATGCAACGGTGGATTTCGGAGGAGACAACACCCTACAATGTAACGGTGGATTTCGGAGCCGCCGCGCCTGCATCCACACTAGCCCCGAGGTAGCGCCCCAAGTGAGTCACTTGCGGTGTGGCTAGAGTAGACACCCTACAACCATCCAGTGCCGTCACTCCAACTTCCACAACGGCTCCGAGGCCACGAACCAAGCCAGCTGATAGCTCTGCCACCCAAGCGACCAGAGCCGACACTCTAAACAAGATGACAATATCTGAAGTCGTCGATCTGACTTCCACACCTGCTCCAAGGCACGCACCACCTAAGTTGATGGCTCAGTCACCCACGCGACCGGCACTGACATGGTAACTCTCCACGCGGCAGAAGCTCATATGGGTAGGTCATGGCCTCCTGAGACCATGCCTCCAAGGAGCAAGTGACAGGTAGCTCGCGCATCGCGGAGAGCAACAAACACCCTTGACTGCGGGAAATGGGTTGGAGCACCCACAGTGACGCCTCCAATGAGGGGAACGAGGCCCACGGGCGCCGCATCAGCAGTGGCAACCAACCAGGTGAGTTGTGTTTCCACCCGAGGTTCTAGCACACCCGCACCGTCACCATCAAAGGCGCACGCTACGCCACATGCCATTGCCACCGCCAACAACCGCCACTGCCACCACGCCAGCCATCGCCAAGCTACCATATATTAGGAAATATGCAACTTGTTTCCCAAGTGGTCATAGGCCAGTATATATACACGTGCTAGTATGGTACAATATGCAAAAATACAAAGGAGTACACGGCTAGAAACTACACTACTCACTAGACGTGCCTTACCAAAGGCAATGTACTCAGGGTCGTCGCCAGTGATGATCATGTCATCAACATAGAGAAGAAGAGTCTGACCACAAGGTGAAAGGTGAACAAACAATGCAGGATCATGAGTGCTCGCCGGAAAACCAATGGCAGTCACCACAGAGGCAAAACACTCAAACCAGGCACGAGGAGCTTTCTTAAGGCCATAGATAGAGCGACGAAGATGACAGACCATGCCATCTGAAATAGAATACCCAGGTGGTAGATGCATGTAAACCTCCTCACGCAACTCACCATTAAGAAAGGCGTTCTTACCATCAAGCTGAGATACAAACCAATGGCGGACAGAGGCCACAACAAGTGTGCGAACAATGGTCATAGGGCCACGTGAGAAAAGTTTCATCGTAATCATGACCATGCTCCTGCTAAAAGACACGAGCCACAAGACGAGCTTTGTAGTGCTCAAGAGAACCATCGGAGCAAGTCTTAACCTTGTAGGCCCACTTACAAGTGTTGGGACGAACACGGGAGGAAGATAAATAAGATCCCACGTGTCAATGCGCTCAAGAGCAACAATCTCCTCTTCCATCGCAAGCTGCCACTCGGGATGAACAACAACATCATGATAAGAGGTCAGCTCAAGAAACAGTAGCACCAACGCATGAAAAACCAAGGCGATGAACAAGCGGAAGTGGACGAGGACGTAAGCCATAACTAGGCCAAGACGAGGAAGATGACACATCAGAAGTAGATGGCGCATCGGTAGCCGCATCCACAACACGTGAACGACGAGTATAAAAGTGAGAAAAAGATGGGAGAATACGAGGAATCGCCGGGATAGATTCGGGTGATGGAGCCGGGAAAGCCACCGGGGATGAAGGTGTAGAATTCTATGATAAACGAGGTAAGGAAACCATAGGAGAAGGCGGCGGCGGATCTGCAATAGTCAGAAAAGCAGGAGGCGGCGGCGGCGGACCGACAAGATCCCAACAACAATATCCCTTATGCTAGTCACTCTATCCTAAGAAGACACATTCAACAGATCGGGCGGTCGGTTTGGTGCATTCACGGGGGGCTGAAAGGACATAGCAAACACAACCAAACAAATGAATCGCCGAATAATCAGGAGGAAGATCAAAGAGACGTCAAAAGGAACGCCAACCTGCAAAGCAGTGGATGGCTGAAGGTTGATGAGATGGTGGAAGTGGAGACACCTTCGGCCCAAAAGTGAGGCAGAAGAGAGGTGGCGATCGTCAATGCACGAGTCGTCTCAAGGTGATGATGCTTGCGCTCAGCCACGCCATTCTGAGCATCAGCACCAGGACAAGAGAAATAAGCAAGGTTACCCTGCTCAACAAGGACTCCATGCAACATGTTGCAGATATACTCTCCGGCAGAGTCAACACTGTCGGCGTTCTGGATATGGGGGTATCCAGACTTGCCTGCCTGCGGCCCACCACGTGGCTCCATCAACGGCCTGGTACGGCCCAGCTTCAGCATCAACGACTCAAGACCCTCGCGAGGGGCCAAGCCTCGCGAGGCGGGCAACACCAAGACCCCCGGGGGGATCGGCCTCTGCAGGCTGGCTCCCGAGGGGCGGAGAGTTCTATGCAAGGTGCACCTCATGAGGCTTAGCTGACGTGAGCCATGACGACCAAGGCCAGGCGGGCGCCAGGCAGGTGCCAGCGGGCACAGAGCGCCAGTTTCCTCTTCGGTGCAAGGGAGGCAAGCCGCGAGCGCGGAGTCCCGAGGAATCAGCCAAAGATTTCCATTCTGGTGCAACAAGACCAAGACCACCAGGACGGCAGGACGAAGGTCATCACCAAGCCCACCACGGCGTCACGACCAGGGGCTTTTCGCAGGCGAAGACCACTTTAGTCAGGATAAGTTGTACTGCTTGTCCCCTCTCAAATCCGACGGTTGTGGGATCCCTTCCCGCCAATATTTGGAAAGAGGACCAAGGCCACTATAAATAGGACTTAGCCGCCACCATAGAGGGGGGGATCGAGTTGAGAGCAAAGGGCATCGGATCCACCCTCACCTGACCACCTCACCAGCTCTCTTTTGCTCAAGAACACCTCACTTCCTGAGGCTTGTTCATCCACTGTACTAGTTCATCCTTAGCCCCTCGAGGCAATCCACCAAAACGCTGGAGTAGGGTATTACAAAGCAAGGTGGCCCGAACCAGGATAAACTGTTGTGTCTCTTTGTCTCTTCGAGCCCGTCGCGCTAGGCTTAGGAGGCTTGCGAGTAGGCAGGCTGGGTAGGTTGAGATCTCCACATGCACCCCAGAGTTCGAACCTTCAAGGTTTGCGGAACCCGTAATCCGACATTTGGCGCGCCAGGTGGGGGTGCGTCGGATCTCCTCTTCCGTCGACCAGTCCTCCACCGCTCCACCAACGCCATGACCGATGCCCCGAGGGCGCACGTCGAG